AAATGAAAACAATGTTTGTGGTGGTAGCACACATAGAGCCAACACCAGGTTCAAAGTGGGGACGGCGTCATGCATGACATCTCCAAAAAGGCACAGTTACTTGGGTAATAAGCATATTTGATCCGCCCCACCACTTGCACAGTTATATAAAAGTGTGTGCTGTGCCAGACTTTGATCTTCAGCGCTAATAGAGGCTGACACTTGAGAAGGGCCAGTCTATGATTCCCCCCAGCATGTTCACATTAAGTCCTGTTCTTTAAAGGTATGAGAACACCAACACCACCTCTCAACCTCCAGGCTTGATGCCTGCTCCTTGCACAGGCTTCACTGACAGCCTCCAGCTGAAAATAGCCAGTAGTCGTACGGCTGAAGCCATGTGTGTCCAATGAAAACACTCATATGTGTTACAATGCCACTGCTGGAAAAGCCCTCTTTACACTTGCTCTGCTCTGCAATGAAGGTTCCACCACTCCACCAATAATTGATATTTCTTCACTTTAATAAAAAAAGAAAGTGGTGGTGGTGCACAGACGCTCCGGCTGATTTCACACAGCCAAATCAACTCATTCAGATACTCACTTTGAGTGACAAAGGTTTTTTTCTTCTGATCTGTCAAAATGTTGTCAGTCGTTTGGGCAACAAACATAAAAAGTACTGAATGAAAATATATCATGATCCTTATTCGCATGACCTAAAAATTCAGTCCTTGCTGCATACTCATTATTCTCACAGACGAATGCTTAAAGATGTTTGTGGTAGCTCAGTTTATATAATGAAACTCCTCTAAACATGTAAAGAAAGGGCATGACTTAGTGTTGCTTGTATCCTCCAATATGGGGAACAGCTATGTATGATATGGATCTGCACCCATTCACGTTTTTCGATGCAGAAGAAAATATGTGGTAAAGATAATCCCAGGCCACCAAATGCATACTGTACAGGTAATAAATCCTTTAGCACCACACCAGAACTGGCCGGTGCAGGTCGGAAGGGTTTTTCGAGGGGGGGGGGGGGGGGGCTCGGGATGGAGGACAACTGATAATGAAGTCCAGGTCTCTCGGTGCAGAGAGCCAGGGAAGGCCTGTGATCACAGACAGCTTGATGTGATTACAGAGGGGGAGGGGTTGATTAGATTGAGGGCTGGAGGAAGAGTAAAAGATAGAAAGGCCTGAAAAAGAAGCAGAAGGATATGCTGCATAAAACAGAGGGAGAAATATAATATGTGAAAGGAGGAGGGAGGGGAACCTGGAGGAACAGCTGCACAAAGGCTATTTATTCCACCGCTGGATAGTTTCCTGGTGATAAGTCAAGTGGAAATGATAAGCTACACTGCACAGCAAATTCCACCTGTCTGTCCTCCAACTCCTCTCTCAACCCCTCTCTCTCTGTCATCCTTCCATTTGACCATGTGCCTCACTTCCACTGGTTTCAATGAGAGAATCCTGAGGGCAGAGGAGGCTCTTGGCAGTTCTCCCACTCATGTCATGCAGTTCTCCTACCTGGGAAGGAGACAGATGGGAGGCCTAAACCCTTAAAAACCTTTCTAAACACTGGTGCCTCCATGAGACCATGAAAAACAGCTGCGCTTGTTTTTGGGCTGCTTCTCTCTCCCATCATCATGACCAAGTGGAAACATGGGATAATGGAAGTGGTGTAAAAAGGCATTGAGTTAATTTGTGTGTCTCTGTAAATCCCATTCAAGAGTTTGAAGGCTGCAGAGCTCCACAGAGCCAGAGCGAGATAGAATGAGGAGTCTTGGATTTGTGTGGCCGGCATGAATGAAAGATTCTCTTCTGCTATTCCACGGTGTCACGTTAGGATGTTACAGTGAAACCGATCGTTATTGGGTTTGTGCAACAATATGCACATAAGACGAAGACAAAAAGAATGAGACAGCTGTGTGTTCTGACTAACCCTCAGAACACACACAGAACCTGGTGGGAAAGTGTGTGTACTTCTGAATGTGCTTCTGTTATGAGGTAGCTTTGGTTTGTCTCCACAATAAATCAATGTTTTCACTCAGCACTTACATATATACATATATACTCTTCATATATACACTTTTATCCGTGGTCTTTTCACTTTACCCTTATTGTCCTGCTTGTATCTCTCTCCACAGCTGAGCTGAATGTGGAGCTAGCTCGCCCTCTGAAAATCAACCCCACCCTGGCTAAGCTGGAGCAGGCTAAAGCATACCTGATGAAAGTCCTGCCAAACCACACCTGGGGAACCTCCAGTAACCCTCCTTCTGCTTCCCCCAGCCCCTACTCCTCCCCTGCCAAGACTCTGCCCAGGCCCCCCCCTGCTCACTCAGAGGCCTCCGCCCTGGGGAAGGACAGTGTCAGGGCTCTGGCGCTTTCCTTCCACAAGGTCTCTCTCCACACTGCCCAGATTGTGGTAGTCATGGAGACAGAGGCCCATCCAATGAGGCCCAGTGTGACCGCAGCAGTGTCTGCCATGACAGGAAGTCTGAATATGAAGTCAGGGCCAAGGATCGAAGGTGAGTGAAACCACTACAGCTTTTGCAACAAACTAACAAAAGGACATTATGCTGGCAGGGAAACACAATAAATACAAATGACATAAACACAAGGCCCAGTTAATGAACCCACGATGCAGGATCCCCTGTGATGCAGTGAAGAAACATCAGATCATATGTGTGTTATCTGACCACTGTTTGAGGGGCCAGCCACTACTAGATGTGATATTCTGAATCCTCCGTGACCCTATGATCACCTTCATCTTCAAACCAGAACTGTAAAATAGTTGTAAGTTAAAGCAGTTAACAAAAATGTTTTGTTGGTCTGCACAGTGTGACATTGTTGTCAATAGGAAAGTAGAACTCTAATGCTTTAGTCCGGGGCAGGCAGAACTATGGAATTGGCCAGCCAGATGTTTCAAACGAGAGACAATTTAAAGAAATAGTTATATATAATGCTAAGTTTCAGTTTGTTTATTCAAGTTTGTGCTCCCCAGCTTCAGGCTGTCAAAACGTGTTATCTTTTCTCTGGCCCCCTGCTGAGACTCCTCTGAGTCACTCAATATCCATGCGCTTTTACTCCAAAGTAATAAGGGCCTGGACCTTAAATGACTTACTTTATTATTTCTTTCATTTTTTCAATGTGAAAATGAAAAAAAAAGAAAAAGTGATTTTGCTGCATTGAAAAAAAGATATTGCCACTCAGGTTATTGCTGTCAAAGAAATTCTGGAAACAGGTGGAGCTACATTGGAAACAAATGCAATGACTTCACCCCATTTGGTAGAATTGATAATCTGTTAGAGAAACCACGAATGTAAGTCTCAGTAATGCACTACTCTAAATGTACATGTTTCCTTGTGGTGTGTCATGTGCCTGGTACCAAAGCTTACTGCCAACAGGAAACAGTCCAGGCCCTTTGAAATGAAGTCAAGTTACACAGTGCTTCAAATATCCAATACAAAGAAAATAGTTTAACAGTCACAGTTTAATCAAACAAATATTGTAGCTGCCCTCAGCAATAATCACAGCAGAGTCTCGACGGATGCAGTTTCTTTATTGGTCTTTCAAGCATCGTGAAAACTAAAATATAAACACAGACATAGGTACTTAATTGTCATTACAAAACATCAATAAAGCATTCGGTTAAACCACAACTGTATTAATTCACAGATCAAATAACCACGTGTAACAAGGTCTCTTTAACGTACCTCGCTCCGCTCACCGAGGGTGCAAAAATGTGTGACGTCAAGCATGGCAGTCCTTATATCTCTTATATCAATTGGCACTATGAACAGTTCAGCCAAAGAACAACACACACAGTTTCAATTCAAACCGATATAAACCCGATAATATCACAGAATGTTCGTGGCAATAGTATTCTATAACTCACATGTACGTTTGAGAGGTCCGTAGCACCGACTAGACCTTGCCGCTTGATACTTTGCGACACCGATTACGGCAACAGTTTAAACATGTGTTGTTATGATTCCGGGGTTCGCAGCGTCACGCCCATACCTACGCCAGCCCCTAACCATGCATACTAAATAATCATAGTGGTCATTTACACTCCCACCAAATCCTGTCATGATGAACAAACTTAACAAGGTAAACAAACTGAGTGAATCATACAGGATTTCTAGACCGTCAAAACAGAACACACTTAAAGTTATGATGGTTCACACACAAATAAGCCTTGTCACCTTAGCAACGTTTTACTAGTATGTCTGATGCAAGTGTATTTTAGCCAATTATTCACTTTCAATGAGTAACACTAGCTTCTGGATGGGACGTTCTATAATCGAGGGTTTGGAGGCGTAGTCTTGTCTCTTTGTTGATTTCCGCTCTCCAACTTGCACTTTGACTCGACGAACCAAACCATCAGTCCCTTCTGTCTCGACCACTCGCCCTAGCTGCCACTGATTCCTTGGAAGCATGTCTTCCTTGATAATGACTATGTTGTTAACCTTCAGGTTGCGCCGGGGTATGTGCCACTTTTGTCTTAAAGAAAGATTCTGGAGATATTCTCTCTTCCACCGACTCCAGAACTGTTCAGTCAGATATTGCACTCGTCGCCACCTTTTGGCCGAGTACGTATCTTCCTTCTCAAACTTTCCGGGAGGTGGAAGAGCAATCTTGGATTTCATCAAGATGAGGTGGTTTGGGGTAAGTGGCTCTAATGACTTGGGATCACTGATTACATCAACGTTTAGTGGACGGCTGTTGACGATGGTCATTGCTTCATAAAACAGAGTTCGGAGGGAGGCATCGTCTAATCTGCCTGGACATTGTGAGATTGTAACGTTCAGCACATTGCGAATGGTCCGAATCTGCCGTTCCCAGACACCACCTGCATGACTTGCAGAAGGAGCATTGAGAATGAACTCACACTGCTTATCTGCGAGGAAAGCTTCCAATGCCTTGGTGTCACATTGCTTCAGTGCCCTTTGGAGCTCATTTCTTGCCCCTACAAAGTTTGTGCCCTGATCACAGCGCAGTTGGCATACAGCTCCTCTTAGACTAATGAAGCGCCTTAAAGCGTTAATGAAGGCGTCCGTGGACAAATCTTCAAGCATTTCAATATGAACTGCTCGAGAGGACAGGCATGTAAAGATGAGGCCGTACCTCTTGCACTCTTTACGGCCCCGCTTGATTACAAATGGGCCAAAGCAGTCCATACCACAAGATGTGAAAGGAGCTGAAGCTTCAACACGTTCTTTGGGCAGTTCGGACATTCGTTGCTCCCCAGCTGGTCTTCTGAGCTTCCGGCATTGCACGCATCTGTGTATCAATTTGGCAACTAATTTGCTCCCACCAATAGCCCAAAATCCATTGGCTCTGATTTCCATTAAGGTTTGACCTCGGCCCTGGTGGCAGATCTGGACATGGTAGTGAGACAGAATCAGCTTGGTGATGTGGCTGTCTTTCGGGAGTATGATAGGGTGCTTTAGTTCTTGACTAACGGCCCATCCACACAGCAGCGTGCGTTGAAAGCTTCACCATTCACTTGAATGGGGTGACGTCACTTTTCGCCGAACTGCATTGTGGGAAGCGGTGCTTTGCTGCCGTGGCTCGCTGTAAAAGTTGAGAAATGTTCAACTTTTGAAGCTTCTGAAGCTTCGGTGGAAGCGTCAGCCAATCAAATCCCGTTTATGCAAATCTGACAGTACAAGCACTAGCCAATCAAACCGCGTGTATGCTGGGAGACACACACCGCAGGTCATTTCCTCATATTCCAAAAAATTGAGCAAGCTTCAACGCACGCCGCTGTGTGGACGGGCCGTAAGGGTTGACTTTCCAAGTCTTCCTCCAACGCAGAGGAGTTCTCCATTCAGGATGGGGTCCAGACGAAGAAGAGGACTTGAACTTGGGAGACTGTCTCCTTGAACACCCTTTTGAAGTGCCTTTATTTCTTGGGAGAAAGCTTGCTGCTGGACGAGCCTAATCACCACTTCAGTAGCCCTCCGTTCTTCGACTGTCACAACGTTGCAGTGTTTTTGCTTGGACCCTAATCTCTTGATTCTTGCAACCACCTTAACAAGCGTAGTCCATAAAGAAAACCGGCTCAGGGGACTTAGAACGTCCTGCTGCTCGCTGACTTGAGTTGCAAAGGCTTGAATCGATTTAACTTCTGGATCACCAACTAGCAAATCATTTGAAGGTGTAGGTGATGGAAGCACCTTCTGTTCCCATAAAAACGTAGGCCCTAATAACCAGATAGTTGTCCGCTGCGTGAAGACCTCTGGAGGCATGGTCAGCTGGGTTTTGTGCTGTATCGACATAGTGCCACTGGGTTGCTTGTGTATTATCTCTTATCAGTTGAACACGATTTGCAACGAACACATGAAACCTTCTTGCTTCATTGTTGATGTAGGCAAGCACCACCTGAGAGTCAGTCCAGAAGTATTCTTGGTCGATTTTCATCTCAAGCTCAGTTTTCAACAAAACGCTCATCCTGGCTGAGGTGACCGCGGCTGAGAGTTCAAGTCTGGGAATGCTAGTGATCTTAGTAGGTGCAACTCTTGCCTTTGACATTACAAGACTGCAATGGATTTCGTCTTTGTCGTTCTTGTATCTGAGGTAGGAACATGCACCATATCCAACGTTGCTAGCATCTGAGAAGTGGTGCAGTTCTACTCTCACAATGTGTCCAAAGTCTTGAGGGTGGTAACATCTTGGTATAGTGACTTTGTTTAACCTTTGAAGACCGTACTTCCACTCCTCCCACCGTGGACGCAAGTTCTCAGGAAGTGGATCATCCCATCCGTTGCCTCTGCGGCACAGCTCTTGCAGAATGCACTTTCCAGTCAGGGCGAAGGGAGCAACAAAACCGAGTGGGTCATAAAGAGAGGCAACAACTGACCAGCCACCAGGTTGGTGGCTGGTCCTTTGTTTCGATGTTGAAACTGAAAGTGTCGTTTTCCATTGACCACTGAATGCCAAGAATGTGTCCTTCTGTTGTTGCGTCAGGGTTAAGATTGAGAGGGTCTTTGGTTACTGCTCTTTCTGAGGGGGCTATGCAGGACAGGGCTTCCTTTTGATTTGAGTTGAACTTGTGAAGACGTAAGCCTCCATTTTTACACAGCTCCTGAGCTTTTGCCTCTTCGACTGATGGAATACTGGTTAACCCATCGTCCACATAACAGTTATTCTCAATGAAAGCTGATGCTAACGGATAGTCACTTTTGTGGTGCTGAGCCAGGTATTTAAGTCCAAAGTTGGCGCATCCAGGGGATGAGGAGGCGCCTGCATTGCCTGAACAAGTTAGATGCCGCCTATCACAATGCACTGAGATTTGTCACAAATTGTAAAGCACTTACACATCACTGTACACTGTATACCAAGGCAGGTTTGCCATCACTTACTGTACGGAGGCTCAGTCATTGGTACACGTTTATTTATAAAGCTATGTTGGGTAGCTTCTGTTCACTGATAACTCAGAGAGTTGCAAGCAGCTATTGTCTGAGATCGCATGATGTAGTCTTGTTGGATGTGCCAAGAGCAAGGACTGTCTTAGGTAAGA